TAGCACTTTTCCTACCACAAATAAAGAAAGGAGGGGCGGGGGGGAGGAAGAAGGAAGGGAGGTCCTCAACCCACTTATCTTTATTTCATTTACGTGAAAAAGTATAGTAGATAGATAGGTAGATCAGTCAAATGACAGGTGGATAGTTACTAAAATGCTTCTGAAGTGTTTCATTAGCTAGGATCTGGTTTTGATAAAGACCATCCAGCAACTCACTTGACTGCTGTTTGTTTGATTATTAACTCGCAGCTGCAGTGACCAGTGGTGACAACCCTGTGAGCAGACCACATGGTCAAATATTTATTTATACAGTCTCATCCATGGTCATCTGATTAGTAAGACTTTAACCTTCGGTTAAAGGGGAGGAAAAGGTCTACTATATTTATAGCCCTCTTACCTCAGCCAAGTAAGAGAAACTTATTTCTGTTTCGAGGAGCTGACTTATCTCCTCGTGTAGGATCCTGTTTAACGGGTGACTTCACCAGCCCTGCAGTGAAAGCAGCCTGCCGGCACCTTCTCGGGAGGACTTGGCTTAAAATCATTTCTGCTGTCACTGTTGTCCAAGCAGATGACTCAGGGCCTTGAGCATGCCTCCCTGGAGGACCCTGGGCTCCCTCCACACCCACGCCGGTCCTCGCACTGCACACATGGGAGGCCTTCATTGGACATGTCCTGAAGCCAGTAATCTCCTACACTTATACATTGTCCAGAGCTGGACAGATTTTAAGTTTCAAATTTTATTTGTTACCTCTTCACTACATTGATAGCAAACTACACTAATGAGGTGTTTTATATATGGAATTTGTTACATCCTCAGAAAGTATTTACTGTCAAGCTTTTTAAAATATGTTGGTAAATTGTCCTCACAATTATTTTGTATCATTCTTTGTATTAAAAAAAAAAAAATTCTTAAAACCGGGCATAGAATAATCTGCCAGCCCCTGCCCAAGGCTCCTCTGACCATGCCCCTGTGTTAGGTGAAGAGTGTGCAGCCAAGGGGGCTTGCCCACTTATAGCTAACTTCTGAATCATGCTCACAGTTCCTGGGACCCTGGCCATCCTGCTCAGATGGCTGCACGCCTGCTTCCGGGGCCTGTGTCGACCTCTTCCACCTCTTCCAGGTCCATCATCCTAGGGCAGACTGGCCAGGTGTGAGCACCAGGTCCAAGGGATGGGCAAGGGCCCTGGTGTGGCGGGGTGTGACGGTGCCTGGATGGGAGGGCTGGGCGCCCACACACGTGCATGGGAGGTGCCTCGAGGTGTGGGCCAGAGCCACCCGGAGAGAGGAAAGGTGAGGGGCTGCCAGCCAGGGGCTTTTGCTACCACACCACCATGTTCTTTTGGAGAACTTCAAGGAGCCCAAACATTTGAAATTTGACCCTGGCTTTCCAGGTCATTTTGTATATTTATTACAGCTCTTAAATATTTAGACATCCTATATGGGCCTTCATTCACACAGCTGTCCCTTCCAATCATGCATTTACCTCTGTCCATTCCTACTCTCTGTGCCTCCCTTTTAGTTTCAGAAAAAGGAGTGTCCTCCCCCCTTCTCCAGTCTAGACCCTCCGACTATGAACCTGATCTCCCCGCTGCCTCCACTCTGCCGCGGACACCTCTCCCCTAACAGCGCTCCTCGTGCTGTGCTAGTTCTCTTTTTGTACCACAAACCTTTAACTGAAATTGTCCCCCCCAAGTCGCCATTGATTCTGGTGCCCAGAGGTGGTTAGTCATCACTGCCCTGACGGTGTGGTTAGTGTGACGCAGCCCAGCTGCACCACCGCTTCCCGAAACCCCGCGCTCGTTCCTGGCCCGTGGCTGCTCTGGCCCTGCTCTCTCCCGTCGCCCAGCTCTGGGTCTTTGTTCCCCTCCACCAGGGAGGGTGCCCCCCGGGCTCGGGGAGGGGCCCACTGCTCTTCTCTTCCTGTGCCCCCC